TTTACTTTATTGTGGTTGGTTTTCTTTTTAAAAAAAGTACTCAAACTGTATAAATAATGTAAAATTAAATTGAATTTATTAGCCAATCAAACAAACTTCTGCCTATGAATACTAAATACTATACTGGATGTTTCAAAAGTTCCTATACACGATTCCTTTTTTTAAGTGACTTATATATAGATCACGATGATAATCATTGTGGTTACTATATCTGGTATATAAAGTCACTTAAAAAAAAGAACCATATATAGGAGCTCTTGAAACATCCGGCATATTAAAGCGCCTGTCAAGGTTAAAAGTATTCTGATTGGTTTACTTATACAAGTATACAAACATGAATACTTGCAAAAAAAAAAAAAAAAAAAAAAAAAAAAAAGACTGAGTTTTGACTCTTCGAGTTGATAACTTAATGACCAAACCTCTGGAAAATTTGATTGAATAATAACAATAATGATAGATTTAAAAATAAAATTTAGTTACATGTTAATTTGTCAATTTTTTTAAGGCTAAGTCATTAATTCTGAAAATACATTACTGCGAGAGATCCGATCCTTATTATGAATTTACAGATATTCATTAGTCAGCAGTTTACCTTAACATAGGATACGTAATGAATTATACTGTTTTTTTATCACCGTAGAAATCTATTTTTAGAATGTCAGATTTTTACCCATATATCGTATCGGTATCGGTATACCTAAAAGAGATAAGTAACAAATAAAAAAGGAAAACTGCATATCTAAGCCCTGAATCAAGATAAAACTGTGATAATAATAGTAATGAGTGTTTTAAAATGACTTTGCCGATAACTTATTATGAACTACTTAGAACGATTTTTTTACAGATTATATAATTTTCAAAAGCTATTACCGTTATATTTCGATTTCTTAGATTATCATGCATTTTTTTTCTCGATCTAAATTACGCACGTTTTCTTTTTTTCAAATTAACGTTAATTGATTAAAAAGTTAACAAATCATATGAAGGGAGTTTTTTATGGTAATACTATAATGCAAGGTGTTTATTCTCACATAAATATAAATAAATCAGACCGTGTGAATTTTTTAATAAAAATTATAAAACGGAAATAAATTTGACAGGAAAAAAAAAAAGTTGAATTGACTTGGTTGGTTCAAACAAAATGTCGAGTGAAAAGCCAATTCTTTACACATATTACAGGTCATCTTGTGCTTGGAGAGTTCGTACATGTTTGAATTGGAAGGGAATTGACTGTGAATATTGTTTCGTTAGTATACTCAAAGAAGAACAGGTATATTTAATAAAATAATTTGAATAAAATGTTTTTTTTTTCTTCTTGCAATAAAAATTTTCGTAAATTAATTAATTAATTAGAAAGAAGAGAAATATTCTGATATGAATCCATATAAACTCGTTCCAACTTTAAAAATTGATGGAATTGTATTAACTCAATCAGTTGCGATAATTGAATATTTGGAAGAAACTCGACCAGAGAAGCCGTTATTACCCAAAGATCCACATAAAAGAGCTTTGGTATATTGAATTATTATAAGATTTTAATATCTTTTTATTTACTTTATTGTTTCTAGATTTGAAATGATCAATTGTTCGTTATTTAATAGGTTAGATCTCTAGTTCAAGCGATTGCCGGTGACATTCAACCACTCCAAAATTTAAGAATTTTATTAAATATTGAAAGTTTAGGAGGTGATAAAAAGGAATGGGCTAAAAGTTGTATTAGTAATGGTTTTGAAGGTATTTAATTAACATATATTCATCGCATCATGATATGAAAAAGTATTGATGAATACTTTATGAATTTTTATTAAAGGAGTTGAAAAACAACTTGCAAAAACATCTGGTAAATTTTGTGTTGGTGATGAAGTTACTTTGGCAGATATTTGCCTTTTACCACAGGTTTATAATGCTAACAGGTTTGGAATCTTTGTAATATCTTATTTGTGTCATAATTTGAAGAGTTTTCGATTAACTGATATATTTATTTTAAGATATGAGATTGACATGACAAAATTCCCTCTAATTCAACGAATTGCTAATGATTTGTCCGAATTGGAAGCATTTAAAAAAGCTCATCCGGATAATCAAGCCGATTGTAATAGTGAAAGCAACGTATAGAATTTTTTAATCACGAATTTAAATAAGGAAAGAATTTATCGTGATTTTTTGTTTTAAAAACTAATATTTACTGTGATGAAAATTATCGAAATGTTTTAACGATGTTATTAAATCTAATCCATTGTCGATAACTACTATGTTTGATTTAAAAAAAATAGTCTTTTTCAGTTTATAATCTATTTGTTTCTAAATCGACTTTTGTATACCTTTCTAGAATTTTATCAATCTCATCAGATGCATATAAATTCATCAGTTGCGTATAATACAAAGTGCGGAGATACACTAAAAAAATAAAAAAATTGGAATTGACTCATTTGATGCATTATCATCATTGGTATATTAGACTTAAAAGCCGCTATTCTCAAACAAAACAATATAATGTATACAAACTTTGATTATTGTTATCTAGGCGCGAAGAGAATTAATAATAAAAAAATAAAGTTGAATCATGTTAAAAATATTTTTTCGAAATGTAAAATCTTGTTCTGCATTTAATCATAAGCCAATTTTTGCATGGATTTTTTTTTACCTATTTCGTAAAACTAAATAATCTCTCTTTTGCAAGACAATAATACCGATTGCTCTCAAGTATTGATGTGAATTCTACCAGATTGGCATGTTAAATTATGTAATTTTAAAATGTTATTATTGGATATAATTTACCTAAAAGTATCTACCGGTATCTACCGGTAGATACCAACTCACATCACTACTCTTTAAAAATTTATCTAATTTTTATTGAGCCACCAGTGTTGATTAAGTAAATTTTACCTACAGAAGATTTCACTCAAAGATAAAAATTCGAAATCATTACGAGAGCGACAATTTTTTAAATGGATTGAAAATTGATAATTTATAAAAAAGAAAAATTCCAATCCTAGTTTAAATTTGATGCTGCAAACCATTTGAAATTAATATACATCCTAACTTCTGCCATACATAAAACATTATACGTACGTATGTACATACGTACCTCAAGACAAGTTCACCAAATCACCCCCAACCCACTTATGAAAATATAATAAGGGATGAGTCCCTTAAAAAAATTGCTCCCCGACCCCCCGAAGGGGGTCGTGGAGACAGATTATTGGTATAGTTTGCAATTAGCAATAATCTGGCCTCGGATAAATCCTCACTGGCGCAGATAATGCCCGTGCACAAAGATGGGGATCTATTTATTCAATGTTGATGCCTATTTATAAGAAATGTGAATGATATGCACAAATGTGGGATTTGTATTTTCAGATTATTCTAATGACGTATACATATCAAATTAGTAGTATGTACTAGTCATGTGAGTGACGCTATGCATTATCGTTATTAAGCGATTAAAAAAAAATTATTATTATAATCGGAAATAGGCAAAAACTTTCCGAATATATAAAAAATGTGATCATAACCAATATAACTTATGATGTTAATATTGATTCCAATATATACAATTCTTTCCTTGAATTTGTATGTTACACGATAACTTGGATCGGATTAATACAGACGTAAACTAGACGCAAACTGTAAGTTCGACTTTCCTACCACGTGATGATCAGACCAAATTTAGCCAATGAAAAATCGAAATGCAACGTATGGTCTATAAATTTTTTAGTATTAACCTTGCTTCGGAAAATCTAATGCTTTTTATATGACTGATTATCTAGCACTAGTATAAGTTAAGTCAATATTAGTCAGTAGCGTTAATACTAGATTTCCACATTTAAAGTATCTAGTGAATTTTGTTTATTGATATCTTTATTCATATTGTAAATAAAGCTTTTATGTATTCGCGTGACTAAAGAATAAAATAAATTACATATTTGCTTGATTTATTCTTTCGAGAAGAATTTCGTTGTTTTATATTGCTATTCCCTTTTCGATATTCATGCAAATTTCCGTGCAGTGATTTTGAATTATAAATAACATGCAAACCTGTCAAACCGTTTACCATCTCTATATATATAAAGAAATTTTTGTATTTTTAGTGCAAGTAAAAGTCATTTACATCAGATTGAGTATTTTCAAATCCTTAAAACTATACTAAATTTAAAATTAATTATTATTAAGGCTTTTTAAGAAAAAATTTCTTTTAAGAGTACTTCTTAATGCCTTCTCTACTTCGGAACCAAATTGATTAAAGTCGAAATTCAAAAATATTAAAGAGGTATTTTTTTCGAGAGCATCTAATAATGCCATTCCTCCTTCGACACCAATTTGATTATCATAAAGAACTAAAGAAGTTAGAGATGTATTTCTATTAAGAGCATCAGCTAATACTTTTCCACCTTTATAACCAAGTTGATTATTACTAAGGTTTAAAAATGTCAAAATAAAATTTTTGTGAAGAGCATCTGCTAACGCCTTTCCACCTTCAAAACCAAGTTGATTGTTGCTAATATTTAAAAAAGTTAAAGTCGAGTTATTGGAAAGAACTTCAGCTAATGCTTTTCCACCTTCAACACCAAGTTGATTGTTACCAAGTTTTAAGGATGTTAAAATAGAATTTTTATAAAGAGCATCCGCTATTGCTTTTCCACCTTTTGAACCCAAAAGATTACCACTAAGATTCAAAGATGTTAAAGTAGAATTTTTACAAAGAGCATCAGCTAAAGATATTCCACCCTCAGAACCAAGTTGATTATAACTAAGATCTAAATGTAATAAGGAATTATTTTTGCCAAGAGCTTCAGCAAGTATTTTTGCTTCTTCAAAACCAAGCATACAATACTGAATACTTAATGATATTAAAGTAGTATTTTCACCAAGAACTTTAGCTAATGCGTTAATACCACATAAACTAGGATTACTATTATAAAGAATAAGGGTGGTGATCTTAGTACTTCGATTAAGAAACTCAGTAATTAGTTTTATTATATTATCACAAAGAATATTATTTAAAAGGCCATAAATAGCCAAATCTTTAAGTTTCTTACTTGTCCTTAGAAACATAGAGATTAAAGAATATTTAATTGCATATTCTTTAGAATAATAAGTTAAATTAGATAAATTATAAGTTCCATGACCTTCGTAATTAAGCCAATTTATAATTCCACAATTCAAATTATCATCAATTAAAGTAACATAAGATGTGTAATCAAATAACGGTTTTGACCTTGGAAATGTTATTCTAAATTGTATTAATGGTGCTTTTTCTTTTTTATTTAAAGCTAAAAGACATATGTTTATAAGTCTTCTATCTTTAAAATGAGTTGAAGGTCTACTCCATAATATTGGTACAGTATTTCTACACCATTGACGACTTACGAGAAGGCATGAAAATAAATTTTTATGATAAAGATTATTAAAAATTTCAACAAGACATTCGTTTGGTAATGTAAACATTTCAAAGAAAAATATTTTAAGAAAATTGTAAGAAATTTTTTTTTTCCTCTTATTAAATTTAATAATTTTTTTTTTGTGAATCATATACATACATACGTATGTACCCCCTTAGACTAGTCACTAATGGAATTACATACATGCATTTAATCGTGTCAGATGTTCTCTGTACAAACCTATACAAACCGTTACACGAGTTATTTATGCGTTATACATACGTACGCGTGATTTTCTTGTTTAATTTAAAATGATAATTAATTCATAATTACAATATATTCATTGTCATTAATTCTTTTCTACTCTCTAAAACAAATGTTTTTCACTTGATTAATATAGATATTACCCAAGTTCGAATTTCAAATTATACTAGTGACAACATTAATAAAATCGATTATCAATCATTCTATAGCGATTGAAGGGGTCACCTATATACTGTAGTTAATCCCAAATTTGGATTAGTATGAATCGCAGTTAAATCATAGCTTGCCTATGATACAATATTAACCCCTCTTGTACTTACATGTAAATGAAAAAGTCCAATTCAGTGTTGCTGATGAAATGGGTGATTTTTTTTGTACTCAATTTTGTTGTTTTTTTGTGTTCCGGATTTATGACATAATTATGCTTACATTTTATTTTTCTCGTCGATCTTTTTACCATAGTTGCACAGTAATTTGCAGTCAAATAACAATAAACCAATAATTAACCCTCATGATACGTACTGAATTTAAGATTGGCATGCTCTTTATATAAATTTTTGATACCATTCAGATTCAGCAAACAGAAGATTTATCTATCAATTACTGAATTAATTATGTTAAATATGCTGAAGGCTTTGTGGTAACGTGAAACCTTACAAAGTGACACCTTCCTTATTTATTAACAGTTTGAGGTTCTTTTAATAATGTTTATCAAAATAGTTTTGCTTGCTGAAAACTAAAAAAATTCTTATCACTTTATTAAAAAATTTACAAATTATTTTTTAGCCAACCTTTCTCTTTTCTATTTCGATTAAATTAAAGATGCTGGTAAAATTCAATTAGTAGTGAAATAATTTCACCACTATTAGAGCTATTAGATTGATTTATTTCGAAAATAAGTGGGGTTTAAAGAATCTCGTTTTTATTTTGAAATTCCGAATCCGAAACCAGAAAAAGTAATAAATGTATTTTTCTGATGATATATTACCATTATATGAGTGCGCCCAAGGGAAAACCTGTTATCGGACATTTTATTATATTTCGTGTACAGTTAACTGTCTATGGAAAATCTATCATGATGATAGATTTTCTACAGGCGGCTAACTGTAATTGAATGTCTGATGAAAGGTTTTTGCTTGGGCGCATTTATATAAAAAAAATAGAATTTATAAATCACTTATTTCAAAACAAATACGTCGAATTCAGAAACTTGAACATTAATTCTGAATCATCCTATTAAATTAATTTCTAGTTTCAATAAAGATAACAACTTTAAGCTTTTAAGCTTCACTATTGACATTTCATAAAAAATAATTTTAGAGAAAATTTTTGTCATTTATTTAAGAAGAAATATACAAAATACAAATTTATATTCATATAAATATTTAAGAGAAAAAAACCTACGTATATAAAAATAAGGTAATTGGGAAAAAAATCTTTAACATTTATAAAAATATAAAAATATATCTACATAAAAAAAAAGCAATTTAAATTATTTAATATTAACTTTTTCATCAGATTCATCATCGTCATCTTCAATTTCATCATCACTTAATTCTATCCCTGTTACAGTTTTAATTGAATCGTCAAGCATCTTAGTTCTTCTAATTACTCTTTTATATTCTTCATCGGCTAATACTTTATCAGTTTTTCTATAATTATAATTGTGTAATCTTTTCCAGCATTTAATGAATAAATTTTATATTCACGAGTACATCTATTTTTTTTAGGATCATAATATATATTATATTTATATGGATGTGTAACCAAGTACCAATTAGCGCCAGATACAACAGGATCTTTAACTACATTATTTTCAAAAGTTACATCAACTACAGTTATTCCATCAGGAATTGGAATTTCTTCTTCTTTATCTTTTTTTAAAAAAAATATTCGTGCAAGATTTTCTTCGGTTGGAAGTGTTTCAACTTTAATTCTAAATGATAAATCTTTAAATTTCTGAATATCACAATCATGTTTTAAATTTCCTTCTTTATCGCGTTTTCCTACATTTATACGTCCTGCTCGATTATACATTTCAAATAAATCTAAATTAATATTATTTGTTATTTGTTATTTGTTATTTGTATTATTTTGTTAAAATTACTAAAAATATTATATAAAAAAATATATTTACTTGTTCAAAAAATTGTATTTTTTTTTTTGTTGTGATGTAATGTTAAGTGTTAAATTCAAAATTAGATTATTTAAGTTGATCGGTCGTATTTTATAATCGGAATACTCAATAATGATTCGATAATTATATTGTGCTAACGCTAAGGTTAATTCAGGGGTCAATTTAAGTCAGGCGCAGCAATTCCAAGCAGTTGTCAACTTCAAGTTCGACGGTTAACGTTAACACTATTACTATGTTCATTAAATAATTTGATATCGGAATTTGATATCCGATGTCTTAAGTATTGTGTAACAATTTGCCGTCGATCTGTCCAATATTAGGTTCGAACCCATATGATATGTACAAACTTAAAATGTGTAAATTAAAATTCATGTCTTAACAAACTTTGATTGTAATAAAGTTAACAATGTTATGTTGTGTTATGTTGAAATGTTCAAAAAAAAAATTATGAAAAATAAAATATTGAATGGAAATGAAAATATATTCCGATTCTAAAAATTTAGATAAATCTTGGTGAAAACTTCTCTTTGTATTGCTAGATTTTGATGATGTGAATATTGTAAAAATATTTATCTTGCTTGAAAGTAATTTAAATTATAACAGTTCACAAAATTGTTTTTAAAGAAAAAATATATTATTAGTTTTATTAAGATTATATAAAGTTTCAATCAGGATTAATTGTGAGGGGCGGATTTGGGGCTACCGGGTCCCTCATAGTTAAAGCTTAACAAACGTAACGCAAAGACACAAGCAACTCGAAAGTAAGGCGTGGAAGATTTGGTCCGAGAACCAAGGATCTTACTGCCACTAAGATCCTGGGTTTTAAGGTGTGTCTTTATTAATATTCAATCTCTACTTAACTGTCTTTTTACCAACAGAAATTACAGGACTTTTATATAAGAGAAATACAGTGGAGGCTTTGACACAGCCTAACTAAATTGAGTATCGGGGGGGGGGGGGGGAATCTTCCGGCGGAAATGAAATATTTTCACGCATGAGACAAA